TGTGAGCTGAACGTTTAGAGGTACTTCGGGGGCTTAATAGATTCGCAGTGGTCTGATACTTCTTCTACTTCAATTTTATTTCTTGCACGGGGATATTTAAAGCTTTTGTATCCAAATCTGACTTTAAACTTCACAACAACAATATCTTGGGTGCTGCTGTGTTTTCCCTGTTCTTCATTGTGCTCTCTACACTTTAAACAGACTTCTGAGAGACTTGATTACACACAAGCGAATTCTTTTATCATCATAATTCATTTTGGTCAACATCGGATCATTCAGTTTAAGTTTAAGTTTAAAATATCCAATAAATTTCCTTTCAGTTCATGATTTTGATCCACTTTTTGATTTTTCACAAAGGATTATAATCCTATATCTTTTTAAATAAAGCCTAAAATGTGGCAAAAGTTTGAAAAATTGAAGGGGGACGGATACTTTCCTAAGGCACTGTAAATAGATAGAAAAAGTCAGAGATATTGAAGGCTGTAATACAGATTAAAAACAAACAAATACATCTGCTCTGCAGGTACTTAACTCTGGTTTCGCCCTATCCTAAGCAAAAATCTAACTGCGTAAACAGTTAAACTAAAAACATTGGCATAAACTGACAAACTGTCCCTGCTTGCTCCTGCTGCACTGAATGGCTACATCACACACCTGCACTCTATTACTTATCAGTGCAGTGATAACGCTCCCAGGCTCAAATCCTATATTCCACCATATAGTTTCCTTTGGGGCACCTTACATCTATGGCTATTAAACAGAAACTCATAGAGGATGGAAAGAAGCAAAAATAAGAAGTAAGAAGGTTTCTTTTCTTCTTTGATTTGTCCAAACATTAAAATAATAGCAGAAACTCCCATACTCTGTAAAGATGTCTGAATCACTTCCACATGCAGAATGCTTGAAACAGCAAATAAAACATTCTGCTTGCTGTACTTAATCACTAATGAGGCAAACGATTTCTACTCAGCCCACCAGTTAATTCCCCTTTATAGGAGAAAAACAAATCTTGATCCTCATACACAGACACTTTTCAGAGCAAGTGTGCACTAAAAGTGACACAGATACTTAAGACACAACAGGACTTGATCCAACCATCCATCCATCCATCCATCCATCCATCCATCCATCCATCCATCCATCATACAAAGATACACAGCCATGCACACACACATTCACACCTAAAGACAATTTAGAGAAGCCAATTAACCTAAAATTATTTTTTTGTTTGGACTGGAGACCTGGAAAGAACCTACACATGCACAGGAAGAACATGCAAACACCATGCAGAAATACCCTGGTCCAGGAATTGAACCCAGAACCTTCTTGCAGCAAGGCACAGTGATACCCACTGCTACACCATGCAGCAGACTTGTTCCTCAAAATCAAATTAATTTTCTCATACTAAGAGTGATCTTATTCATTTTTTTTACCCCACCATTCGTAGTTAGATTGGAAACAGTGTGACAGCTGCTTGAAACTAGAATGCCTTATATTCTGCCTTGAACCACTTTCCCATATATTCCAAACAGCTGATTCTATCTAGGGAAATGTGGTTGTCAACAGTATCAATGGTAGTAACACTCATAATAAGGAAGGGTTCTGATAGAGAAGTTTATATTTTGGATAAAATATTCACCAGTGCGTTTTATTTTTTTTTTTTTGTGAGATTCTATTAAAAGCATTATAAGTATATCTAATGAACTTTAAATGCTTAAATTATTTAACTGAGGCCTGCCCATCCTCGTGGGCCGCTGTCCTGCAGGTTTTTGAGGTTTTCCTTGCTTTAGCGCAGCTGATTCTGATGATTGCAGTCCAGCAAGAGCCTGTTAATCAGCTGTCAATGGAAATCAGCTGTGCTGAAGCAGGAAAACCTCTAAGACCTGCAGGACTGCGGCCCTCAAGGACCAATACCAGATTCAACTATTTGGAAATAAGTTTATT